AATGTAGCCCTGGAGCTATATCTATAGCAAAAATGTGTCTGTTTCTCAAAACCATCTAAAAAAGATGCTCTTAAGTAAAGAATCCAATGTTGTTACTTGGGATGAGTGACTGGAGTTGAAGTTGTTTTCTGGCCTTTGATAGACACAATATATAATTCTTCAGCAACAGAGATTGTCAGTGGGGATTGCTCCATAGGAAGCCATGAAAAAATATGTCAAGATAGTGGTCTGTTTATATGCTGGTGTAATGGATACTAGGCCCTGGCAGAAATAAGTCTTGTTAAGACAGAATACTACAGGGGGTTTATCTGTACTCTTGTTGCCAAAACCATGCCTATAAACGAAATAAGGAAAGGACTCAGATGTAGCTTGGTGGTAGAATGTTTGTCTAGTGTTCAAAAGTCACTGGTTTTAAACCTCAGCATCATAAAAAATAATAGGAAAATATCAGCTAATGAAGGCATCCAAATGTTGTCAGTTATATCATGTCTACCTGTCCTCATTGATGTAAAATATAAAAAACCTTAAATATAATATGCTGTGTGGCTGGCCCAAAACTATTGTGAAAATAGAGGAAATTTGTTTTACACATGGGCAGTTAATGTTAGCAAAAAAAAGTTCTGAAATCCAATTTTGTTTCATCACTACCAAGAAATTAGTAATGTCACTGGGCAATCATAGTCACTCAATATCAATGTGCCAAATGTTTAACAAAAGCAGTGTGGCTAAAAGTTCATATTTTGGTGTAGACTATATTCCTTCAGGTTTTAAGGGGCTTTCATGAATCTCAAATTGACAAGTCCACGTTTCCATGAAGTTGTTGTGTGAGTTTTCCTGCGGACATGCATAAATATTCACTCCAGACAGGTCACCAACAAAAGACCACAAAAAAAATTAGTTCTACCCAAGTCTAGCTTAGTGAAGAGGTGAGTTTATTGGAGCTTTTTACTGGAACATGGGTGGTTCAAAGGCAACTGCATCACCAGAAAGCCCACCCCAGCATGGGTGAGGGCTATGAAAGCTGAACCCATGAAGCTCTGGGCAGGTCTTTCAGGCAGCTCAGCAGGCTGGAGAGTCTCTTCTTCCCAGCAGTTGTTATGGTCTGTGTAACCTTGGTAATGGGCCTTGTGAATCTTGCAAGTTTGAGGATCTTCTTGACACTTGTGAGTTTTGCTGACTCCCTGAGCCCTGTAAGTTTCATTTACTTCCCGAGTCATACCAAGTTCCTTCCAGGAGAGACTTTCAATATGAGGGAAATAGCTACACAATGGGAGTCAACTTCTTGCTTTAGATTCTTTGCAAGCAATCATGAGGCCCCTGGGGGTTTATTTAGATCTGTTTAAAAATACCATCTCACATGACAAATGCCTGCAATATGTGGAAGCAACATTTCTTTATTTGTTTATCTGAGGACTGTTTGCCCAACATTACAGTCTTCTGTCTCTAGACTGCATGATGAATTTCTCCAGTGGTGATGATATGGGTACTTCCTGTTACAAGCCATCATGAGGCTGCTATTCCCACAAATGATGCTAAAAGACAGCATCTCACCACCCCTCTTCAGAAGTGCTAATTAACATGCAGTTGTGGAGCAGCTTTTTAAGACCATCTGGCAATCCCTGATCCATGGTCTGTATGTAAAGCCCACATGGTACTGAGCATATTTCTGTGACTCAGATCCATCCTACCACATTCTTGGCCACTGTCCCAGTTAATACCATTTTCATTTCCTGTGGTCAACATTGCAGAATCGGCTGCTGTGTGCCATTCATTGTATTTGTTGTTCACAGTAAGTCCACCAGATAGTTTGCCTTTGCCTTCTCCCACTCTCTCAGTTCATTCCTCCAACTCTATCTATTTCTGCCTTGACACAGGGTGTGGTATCATCAACGCTGGTAGACCAAAGATGATGTTGAACTTATGATCTTCCTGCCTCTACCTCCTGCGTGCTGTGATTATAGGTGTGTGCCACCACACCCAGTTATGTGGTGGTGGGGATCAGAACCCTGGGCTTCTTGAATGCTAGACAAGTACTCCATCAAATGAGCTACGTTCCCAGCCTCTAAAGCTCAAATATATTGAAAGTATAATTCTGAAAAAAAAATAGTTACATTTTTAAAAGGATTTATTTATAAAACATAAAACAGAACACATTGTAGGTCTCTTTATACAACAAAATAGGCAATAATTACATGCATATTTTTGCCAGAATAAATTATACAGTTATATTTATGGTAGTTACAAGGTTAGAACAATCATGAGAAGATGAACTGTGGTCATAAAGAAAGAGTCTGGCCAGGCATGGTGGCTCTGATGGCAGTTTTGGTTGTCAATATTTTGGTTGACTACATCTGGAATTAACTAAAAACCCCCAAAAGCTGGGCATAGCTGTGAGGGATTTTTTTCTCAATTAAATAATTTGAAGTGAGAAGATCAACTTTTAATCTGAATCTTTTGAAGTGGGAAGATCTACCTCTTATCTGGGCCACACCTTCTGCTGGAAGCCTATATAAGGACACGGAAGAAGGAAGCTGTCACTCTGCCTGCTTGCTCCCACCCCCCCTCCCCCACTAGCTAGTGCATCTTTTCACTGGCATTGGGATTCTGGTATATACTGAAGACCAGCAGAGACGTCCAGCCTCATAGACTAAATAACTACTGTAATCCTGGACTTTAGTTCATAGGCAGCTGCTGTTGGATTAATCTTTGGGAACCCATTCCGCATAGAGGGATACTCCCTGAGCCAAGACGCATGGGGTGGGCCTAGGCACTATCCCAAAGGCTATGATAGACCCTGATGGCCCCCTATGGAAGGCCTCACCATCCCTGGGGAGCAGAAAGGATATGTGATAGATAGGGTGTTAGTTGGGGGGGTGGTATGGGAGGAGGGGAGGGAGATGGAACTGGGATTGACATGTAAAACAATCTTGTTTCTAATTCAAGTAAAAAAAGAAAAAATTCTAGTAAATCCATATATATTATACATATTTATTCTATACATTGTTTCTCTAGATAACTCTGATGAATACAGTAGCACATACCTTTAATCCCAGCACTTGAGAGACAGAGACAGGCAGATATCTGTGAGTTTGTGGTCATATTGGTCTATATAGCAGTAGGTCAGGGCTCCACAGTTGAGGCTGTGTCTCACAAAACCCTTTAGAGTCATTTTGTGTGCAGGCAGTCTATATCCATGGTCATCTGGAATGCAGACAACTTGTTTTGTGTGTATCACTCTCTCTCTCTCTGTCTGTCTCTCTCACTATCGCTCTCTCTTCGTGTGTGTGTGTGTGTGTGTGTGTGTGTGTGTGTGTGTGTTGCTGCATGCAAACCTGTGGACTTGCATGTAGAGGCCACAGGCAGATGCCATCTCTGTATGCCTCCACAACTGGATGACTGTGACTCACAATCCCTCAGCCTCCCTTCACATACTTCTGGCCTCATTTTCCTTATTATTACATCATGAAATGCTGCCAACTAAAAGTAAGCTTAAAAAATTAGTGGGGTTCATATTTGAAGAACTTTGAGCAAATAATGGGACATCCAGCTAAGGTTGTAGTTTGTGAAGTGCAGGTGGAAGAGGCACAAGGATCCTGGCCAAATGTATTTCTATTTTATTTTTTTGATATTTTGTTATTAATTCAAATTAGGAACAAGCTTGCTTCACATGTCAACTCCTTCTCCCTCTCTCTCTCCTCCTCCCAACCTTTCCCCCCAAGCCCCCCACCTGACCCCCACCCCATCCATCCTCCACTCCCCAGGCAGGGTAGGGCCCTCGATGGGGCTCCCCAAAGTCCACCACATCATCCTGGACAGGGCCTAGGCCCTCCCCCATGTGTCCAGGCCAAGAGTACATCCCTTCACATGGGATGGGCTCTCAAAGTCCCTTCTAACACCAGGAAAAAATACTAATCCACTACTAGGGGCCCCCTGGAGTGTGTAGGACACCTAATTGACATCCATGTTCAGGGGTCTGGATCAGTCCTGTGCTGGCCTCCCAGACAGCAGTCTAGGGTCCATGTGCATCCCTTTTTTGGGCTGGGCTCTCAAAGTCCCTTCTAACACCAGGAAAAAATACTAATCCACTACTAGGGGCCCCCTGGAGTGTGTAGGACACCTAATTGACATCCATGTTCAGGGGTCTGGATCAGTCCTGTGCTGGCCTCCCAGACAGCAGTCTAGGGTCCATGTGCATCCCTTTTTTGGGCCTGCTGTTTCTGTGGGTTTCACCAGCCTGGTACTGACCCCTTTGATCTTCATTCCTCCCTCTCTGCAACTAAGTTCCAGAGTTCAGTTCAGTGTATATCTGTGGGTGTCTGCCTCTGCTTCCATCAGCTACTGGATGAGAGCTCTAGGGTGGCATAAAAAGTAGTCATCAGTCTCATTATAGGGGAAGGGCATTTAGGTTATCCTCTCCACCATTGCCTAGATTGTCAGTTGGTGTCATCCTTGTAGATCTCTGGAAATCTCCCTAGTGCCAGATCGCTCCTCGGACCTATAATGGCTGCTTCTGATATGGTATCTCTCATCCTGCTCTCCTCTATTCTTCTCCCAACTCAACATTTCTGCTCCTCCATTTCCTCCTCTCCCCTCCTCTTCTCCTCCTCTCATTCTGGCAGCTCCCTCTCTGTTGGGAGCCAAATCTCAGGGCTTGGCATGAGATCCTAGGCCATGCTTGACAGGCCACATAGTTAACCTTTACATAGCAGCTCCTTAGAACCTCAGCTCAAGAAAAGAAACAACTTGACCCAGGCCTCCTGGGCCTCTTACTCATAAACTCTTTACCCTGCCAAACATCCTTTTTGTGGCTTCCTCATATTCTGCCTACACTAGCACCTGGCTCACAAACAACCCATTCTACCCCTCCCCATATCCTGCTCAGCCGACTATATAAGCTAGCCCAAGAAAAATAAGTTTGCCACTTGATCAGAATCCTGTCCTGTGGTCATTCTTTCTGTGTCTCTTGTCCTCATTAACTATCCCTGACTCTCTTACCCCAGGTTGATGTCCTGCAGGTTGGGACAACTGGCGCCTAACGTGGGGCTGGATAGAGTTGGGGATCTGGGAACGTCAGTGCTCATTAGAGGGACGGGCCCGTCCATGCAGTGAGGCGTCCACGACAAGGTCGATTGTGAGCCTCGGTTGGAGGAAGACCCAGCAGCCTGCCCAGCGCTTGGGAATTTCAGTTCATGAGCACCACCTATGTGGAAAAGGTAATGGGACAAGCATTTAGCAAGGAAGATTTATTTCTTTATGGGATCACAGAATCCCTCAAGATGCAGGGAACTTGGATTAAGAAAAACAATTGATAAAATTAGCAAGAATGATTTACTTCTTTCTGGGATCAAAGAATCCCTCAAGGCTCAAGAAACTCAGGTTAAAAAGAAAGAAACAAACAAAAAAGTTCTTCCTCGTTATTGGGGATCTTTGTCCATGGTTCCCCGAGGAAGGAACCATTAATGAAAAGAAATGGGCTACAGTTGGCAACTGCCTCCAAGAGTTGATTGTCGGACAACATGGCAGACCAGATGGCTTCATAAGACATGAAGTGCGGTAGTACAGTGTGGGACAGGGCCAGGTTAGGGAAGGGTTACTAGTGAGAAGCCCATGTCAGGTTGGTTTGAAAAGTAAAAGAAAAAAGCTTCACATGATCTTTTTAATGCTATTATGTTTGAAACTGCCAGTGCTTCTTTGTTTCTGCACCTGGCTTGTGGATTCATGGCAAGTTTGTCCACTATTACAGTGGCCAATGGTGGGGGAGAGTTCAACATTCTCTGTCTCGACCACCTCGACCAGCAAGGAAGATGCTCTTCTGGAAGAGCCAGCCCATAGCTTAAAAGCACTCTTGCCAGCCAACCCCAGAATGCCACGTGGCTAAGGCAGATAGGCTTGCATTTGCTGATGCAAGTTTGAATCTTAGACCAAGCCAAATAAGGAGTTGTTTATTCCAGAGCGCTCACCCTCGGGATGGTGGAAGGCGGAAACCAGCGCCATCTTTAAGGCGCAGCGCATCACAGCTCTCCACAATTCTCCTTGTCGATTCCTGAGGAATGCTGGGAAGTTGCAAGTGAGGTCATGGAATTAGGGAGGTTAAGGTTGACAGTGATACTTAGCTGGCTCTGCATTGCAGGAGGGTAAGGAGATGTGGATCTCAGAGGGATTCCTATTATGAGACTTTTGCGTCTGAAAAAATCCCTGTCCAAATTGCTGCTCTTGGTGTTTCCACTTTTGCTTTTTGTATGAGCCAGAAATGTTTTCAGTAGTTTCTTTCCTTCTCTTTTTCCGAAAGGAATGGTGATGTAAATCTAATATAATGCTTAGGAATAGAGTATACACGGGGACTGTAAGTGAGACCTGGCAAAGAATTGAGTTGTGTAGCTAACATCTCTGGATCTGTAGTTATGCTCAGAGGCCTTTCTGAAAGCTGTCTGAAAGCTGTCCTGTCTTCTCAGACTTCTCACTTAACCATTCATTGACCAAGTGCTTCTTTGTTTTGGGGTACTTTGTGGGACATTTATTAAGTCTTGGAATTTCCACTTCAATGTGTATTTCTGTTGCTGCAGTTTCAGTTTCTGGTTCTACAGCAAGTACAGTGCTTAGAATATTGTTTTGTTGTGACGTAACTTCAATGTCAGGAGAAGATGGCTGTATGTCTGAACACATGCTGACAGTCCTGTGGCAGACAGTGCTGTCCAATGTCCAGATCAACTCATTCTATACGTTCCCTGAAAATGACCTCAATGACACCGACTCAACGATTGGCTTGGCTGTCTTCGCTCCTATGGGAAAATAACCTCCTGTTACTCCTTTTTGCCTCCTTCTACCAATTCCTACTACTTCCCCATGGTTAACCACCCTCCTCCCTTCCCTCCTTGGGCTCCGGATAGGGCTCCTCTTATTATTTTCCTTTGGCTCTTGGGCCTTTAATCGACTTGTGGCCTTTGTCAAGCAATAAGTGGACTCTGCCACTAAGCCTGTCCTGGTCCAATACTAACCCACTTCCCCACGGCCAGCTTCAGAGGTGCAGACCTGGATGGTACTGCAAGGAGACCTCGTCTTCTGAGGAATATGCCTGCGTGCAATGGGGTCGATGTCCTAAAGCTTCCCCATCCCCACAAAAGGTATCCGGACGGTCCTGCCTTTCAGATGGCTCCGAGAAGCTGTCCCTGAGGTCAGAGAAAAATGTCCTTTATAAAATCCACATAGATTCTCCAATTGGGGGCCAGGCCTCTAACCCCCTCTGCTGAAAAATTTTGTCACTTCTTATACAAGGAAGGGGGAATATGTTGGGAGCCAAATCTCAGGGCTTGGAATAAGATCCTAGACCATGCTTGACAGGCCAGATAGTTAACCTTTACATAGCAGCTCCTTAGAACCTCAGCTCAAGAAAAGAAACAACTTGACCCAGTCCTCCACCAACAGGCTCAGTCACCTAGGCAACCCTTCCTGGGCCTCTTACTCATAAACTCTTTATCCTGCCAAACATCCTTTTTGTGGCTTCCTAATATCCTGCCTACACTAACACCTGGCTCACAAACAACCCATTCTACCCCTCCCCATATCCTGCTCAGCCGACTATATAAGCTAGCCTGAGAAAAATAAGTTTGCCACTTGATCAGAATCCTGTCTTGTGGTTGTTCTTTCTGTGTCTCTTGTCCCCATTACCTATCCCTGACTATCTTGCCCCAGGTTGATGTCCTGCAGGTCGGGACACCTCTCCCCTACCCTCATGTTCCCAATTAGCTCAGGAGTTCCTGCCCCTTCCCATCCTTTGGGGTCCATGCATTTTTCCCTTAGAGTCCTTCTTGTTTCCTAGTTTGTTTGGTGAAGAGGATTGTAATCCAAAGAGGCTGGCAATCCTTTGCTCTATGTCTAATATTCATATATGAGTGAGTACATGTTTGTCTTTTTGTGACTGGGTTACCTCACTCAGGATGGTTTCTTCTAGTGCCATCCATTCTTCTAGTGCGAATTTCAAGATTCCATTGCTTTTTTCTGCTAAGTAGTGCTCCATTGTATAAATGTACCACATTTTCTCTATCCATTCTTCAGTTGAGGGGCATCTAGGTTGCTTCAAGGTACTGGCTATTAAAAACAATGCTGCTATGAACACGGTTGAACATATGTGTTTGTATGAATGTGCCTTTATATGTTACTTGCCCTTTTCCCTTTGCTACTCTTAATATTTTCTCTTCATTCTGTAGGTTTGGTATTTTAATTATTATGTGTCAAGGGGACTTCTTTTTGTGGTCCAGTCTGTTTGGTGTTCTGTAAGCTTCTTGTACTTTCATAGGCATATCCTTCTGTAGGTTGGGGAAGTTTTCTTCTATGATTTTGTTGAATATGTTTTCTGTACCTTTGAGCTGTATTTCTTCACCTTCTTCTATGCCTATTATTCTTAGGTTTGGCCTTTTCACAGTGTGCCATATTTGCTGGATGTTTTGTGTTAGGGATTTGTTGGATTTGAGATTTTCTTTGATTGATGACTGTATATCCTGTAGCGAGTCTTCAGCAACTGAGATTCTCTCTTCTATCTCTTGAATTCTATTGGTTATACTCACACCTTTCCTTCCTGATCCTTTATCCAGCCTTTCTATTTCCAGCATCCCCTCATTCTGTGTTTTTTTTTTTTTTTATTGTGTCTATTTCAGCTTTCATGTCTTGAACTGTTTGGAGTGCTTCCTTCACTTGTTTGGCTGTTTTTTCTTGGCTTTCTTTAGACTCTTTAAGAGATTTGTTTATTTCTTGAATTTTTTGGTTTGTCTTTTCCTCCATTTCATATAATTTTTTGCTTGGTTTTTCTTCTATTTCTTTAAGGGATTTTCTTGTTTCCTCTTTAATGGTCTCTATCATCTTTCTAAGATAATTTTTGAGGTCCATATCTTCTTCATCCTCTGTGTTGGGCTTTTCAGATCTTGCTGGTGTGGAGTCCCTAGATTCTGGTGGTGTTATATTTGTCTTTCTGATGTTGAGTGTGTTCTTATTCTGTCTTCTTCCCATCTCTTCTTCCAGCGGGAGCAGGTGGGTCTCTCTATCTCCTCTTGTCACCAGGTGGTGTGTGTGGGACAAGACTTCAATGTCTGCAGATGTGGATGTTCTTGCCTCTCCTGGTAGTCTCCTCACTCCATAGGGGTCAGACTGGCAGAGGCAGAAGGAAGAGTGAGGTGTTTCCAGACTCAGGGAGCTCCTCACTGGCTGTGCGGGTCCACTCTAAGTAGGCCCAGGCCCAGAGAGATCTGGAGTGAATGGGGCTTTGGGCATGAGTCGGGCAGGAGGAGAGGGTACACTCACCTCAGTAGGGGTCAGGCTGGCGGAGGCTTGTATTTTATTTTTACTTTTTTTCCCCAGATGATTAACTGTGGCAGCTTGTAAGTGAAATATTTTCGAGTACTTGTGAACGTTACCCATGTAGTGTTATCCTCTGATTAAACAACATATGTTCTTTGAGATGCCAAGATGCTTAGAATTCTGAATTTCTTAGATTTGGATGGTAATCAGCCAGATTTTCATGTATATTTAGGCTTCCAAAGTGCATTGTCCTTTTTGTGTGAACTAGCTTAAAACTATATTGTTAATGTTAATAGTGTAAGTAATAGTACTTAGAAAAATGGTAGAAAAATGGACTGGTGAGCTTTCTGCAACTTTAGGGAAGTCTTCGATGCAGTAAGGTGTAGAGAAGGCATGTTTATTTCAGCTCACTGTTTTGGGGCTTCAGTATCCCCTGTGTCCTTGTATCCATTGCTTTTCAGTAGAGGACTATGGTGGATCCCACAGAGCAACAAAACCATCCACCCCCCATAGCCATAGCAAAAGAGAGGAAGAAGACATCCGACTTCACAGTCTTCTCCATGACCTAAATATAGACTCTCTACTTGGTCCCACTTCTTAAAAGTTCTTCACTTTCCTAGTAGCTCTGTACTGGGGACCAAGTTTTTAACAAACAGGCATTTGGGGATGTTCAAGTTCCAAGCTATAGCAGAAGCAAATGGAAAAATTAATGAACTCGAGTTTGACTTAGGGTCCCATTATACAGGTCAGTTGAGTGATTGTAAAATTAAAATCTGCCTCTGTGTTGATTTTCAGCTTTGCAGTACCAGGATTCATCCTTTTCTGCTTCCTGATTGCAGATGCTATGTGACTAGAAGCCTCATGGAGAAGACTGGGGTTGCTAGGAATAGAACCCAAGAAAAACTCAGGGCCCCTTGGAGTCAGTGGACTCCCAGGTCTTCTTCTAGAGAAGTCAGTAGCACTTGCTAATAAACTTACTTTCTCTGAGATATTTCCTTGTCCCTTAATTCTTTAGTTGCCAGAGAAAATTTCCCAGGTTGCTGGTATCAAAAGGGACAAGATCTCCAGAGAAAATTGGGAGTATGGGGGGAGGGGAGAGGGAGCTAGGAGAATGAGAGGGGGAGAAGAGGAGGGGTGAGGAGGACATAAAGGAGCAGGAAGGTTGTGTAGGAGGAAGAATAGAAGAGAGCAAAATAAGGGTTACCATCAGAGAGGGAGCCAGTACCGGTTTAAAGAGAAATCAGGCACTAGGGAAATGTCTAAAGATACACAAGGATGACACCAACTAACAATCTAAATGACAGTGGAGAGGCTACCTTAAATGCCCGCCCCTGATAATGAGATTGATGATTAACTTATATGCCATCCAGCAGCTGATGGAAGTAGAAACAGATACCAACAGCTAAACACTGAACCGAACTGGAATCCAGTTGCAGAGAAGGGGGAGTGATGAGCAAAGTGGATAAGACCAGGCTGGTGAAATCCACAGAAACAGCTGACCTTAACAAGTGGGAGCTCTTGGCCCCCAGACTGATCACTGGGAAACTAGGATGGAACTGATCCAGACACCATGAATGTGGGTGCCAGTGAGGAGGCCTTGGAAATCTATGGGGCCTCTTGCAGTAGATCAGTGCATATCCCTAGCATAGGAATGGACTTTGGGAGCCCATTTCACATAGAGGGATACTCCCTCAGTCTAGACACACGGGGAAGGGCCTACGCCCTTTTCTAAAGGATATGACAGACTCTGAAGACCACCCATGGAAGACCTTTCTCCTTGGGGAGCAGAAATGGTATCGGATAGGTAGGGTGTTAGTGGGGTGCAGGGGAGGAGGGAAGGGAGAGGGAACTGGCATTGACATGTAAAACAATCTTGTTTCTAATTTAAATAAAAAATGGAGGAAAAAAAGAATACTATATAATGTTAAAGCAGCAGAGGTGCATCCAGGCTCAGACAATATAAAACAGAGACAAAATTAGACTCTGGGAAAGTTATGCATTTGACACATACTCTCTCATTGCCCTCAGCAGGAAGTCTGCCTGTCTCAGCAAACACCCTCCAACCAAGAGAAGAAAGAGAGAGAGCACCACTGGGCTTGGTTTGGGCTTCTGAAACCCTAAAACCCACTCCCAGTGACACACTCACACCAACAAGGCCACACTCACTCCAGCAAGGCCACACCTACAACAACAAGGCCATATCCACTCCAGTAAGGCCGAACCTTCTAATCTTAAATAGGGCCCCTCCATAATGACCTAGCATTCAAATATTTAAGCCTATGGGGACAATTCCTATTCAAACTACCACGGGGAATAGATCTGTCTTGATTGTTAATTGATATGGGAAGACCCAGCCCACTGTGGAGGGCACCATTCCTAGGCAATATAGAGAAGGAACTGAGCATGAGTAGGCATCCATTTCTCTTTGCTCTTGACTGTGTATTTGACTAGCTCCTTCATGTCCCTGCCTTGACTTCCCTGCTGTGATGAACTGTGACTTGGAATTGTGAATCTAATGAACCCTTTCTCCCTTACGTTGCTTTTTGCCAGGGTATCCTATCACAGCAACAGAAATGAAAGTAGAACAGTATATATGTGTTTATGCCTACCCATCTTAGGATCTGTGGCATATGGGACTTGTAATAACTAATTTTTGTGCTCTTATTCCATTCATTTATCTTAGATCAATTTGATTCTCAGGCGTGGTTATAAATCTTATGAGGATCAAGTTAAAACTTTGTCTTCCTTATGTCACCTGAGTTACAGAATTAGCAAATCTGCCAGGACCGTGGTTTTCAGCTGGAGGCCATTTAGCCTGGTGTCTGGTCAAGAGTAGCAACATTTGGATGTATTTTTGGGTGTAGCAACTGAAGACTAACATTTATCGAACAGAGTCTAGGAATGCCACTAAACAACCTAGAATATGCGTGGTATCTTTCTCCCACCTCCCAACAGGGAACAGTCTAGCTGAGGATAAGGAACCCCAGCCCAGGGTATATGAGCCAGGAGCTATGCATTCTGCTTGTGTGACTCTAATTGGACAGATGTGAACAGATGTCTGTTTGCCCAAGACAGAACACAGACAAGATGACAAAGAAATGATCCCACTCACATCTAGCTTAGTGAATCAGTAAGTTTATTGGGATTACTCATATAGTGTGGGTGAGAGGTTAGTTATGGGAGCATAGGCCACACAACCACCTTCCATCCTTTGGCGTCTTTACCAATCATCCATTCTGCTAAATCTCATTTTCCAATGAGAGCACCTAAAAGACTCACCTGTTACCTGGGGGCACCTGTTGCTGTCAAGTCAGCCAGGTGGAAGAGGAGGGCAGGCAAGAGTCAGGATGGGGCCCTTGGTGAGGCACAGATGAGAGCTCTCCTCACAGCCCCAGCAAGTCACAAGGCCTGGACATCAAAGTCTGAGAAACAAACAGGCCCTTTCCTGTTATCGTCACCCAGAGCAGCAGAAGTCATTAAGTAGCAGTTTGAAGGAAGAGTGATGATTTCTTTCCCTTCAGACACCATGTTCAGTTAATTTATTCTGACTGGATGTGGAGCGACTGGGCGCCGGACAGGACAGCGTGTGGAAATACATGTCTATTCCTCATTATCTCTAATGGGAGTTTCAAAGCTGCACTCAGATTTAGTATCCTATTTGGTCTGCCTTGTATAACACCTGTCAGTAGGCTGCTTTCCTGCTATGTCATTAATATTTAAATAATGCGATTTAAAGGTCAAACTGTGCCCACGGCAATATTAAAATATAGCATTCCCTTTTCCTAGATGGTGATGTAACTGAGAGTGGAGAGTTGTAAGAGACAGTGGAAAGTAATAGCCCTGCCTAGCAGAGAGCAAGTTGCATGTACGTTCATTGCATTAATAATCTCATGATCCATTTTTTCTTTTCTAGAAAGAAATGTGCCTTGTTGCAGAGCTATGTAGATGAGAGCTGCCAAAATGATTCTGCAAGAGACAGGTCAGATGTGTGGGGAGTCTTCCTGCAGGATTTCCCCAGGATCTTGTCCTGTCCCTCCCCTTCAGGGGAGTCTTCCTCCAGGATTTCCTCAGTCCTTGTCCCTCCCCTCTCCCTGTTTTCACCTGTCCCCTCCTTCCTTAGTTATCTGACTCCTTTACCTCTGTGCTATCTTTAGGTGTCTTCTTGGAAATGTCTGGCACACTCTTACCTCCCTTTGCCAGCTTTGCATCCGGTTTAGGTAGTTTTCTTGGTGGTGAGATGAAATGCCTGACAATCAATTTAAAGGAGGGTTTATTTCTGCTTTCAGTTCAAGGGGTGCAATCCCTTGTGATAGGGAAATCATGGTGGCAGGGGTCTGAGGCAGCTGGTCACCTTGTGTGTACTCCCAGGTAGCAGAGAGAGAAATGCAGGTGCTCAGCTTGCTTTCTCCTTTTTATTTCGTTCAGGACCTCAGCCTCACCTCAGCAAACCCAATCAATACAATCCTTCACCCAGAAGCTTGGCTCTAGGTGATCCTAGATCCTGGCAAGTTTATAATCAATGTGAACCATCACTGCATCTTCTTCTTGGCAGAAAGAGTTACTTACTCCTCACCATTGTTGCATTTGGAGGGAACACTTCTGTGTATGCATGCTCTGGCTCCTCGAAATTAACAGGTGGAGATTCTAACCTCCAAGGAGATGGGGTCAGGAGATAGGGCCTTTGGATGGAGATTAGAGAGAGCATAAAACCAGACTTTTCATGGATACAATTGTTGTTTTCATATGTGTGTGTGTGTGTGTGTGTGTGTGTGTGTGTGTGTGTGTGTGTGTGCACGAGAGAGAGAGAGAGAGAGAGAGAGAGAGACAGAGACAGAGACAGAGACAGAGAGACAGAGAGAGACAGAGAGAGAGACAGAGACAGAGACAGAGACAGAGAGATGGGGGGAGAACTTTCCCCATCTAACATGGTATAATTCAGAAAAAGGTACCAGACATTAGAAAGAACCAGTCACCAGACACGTGACCTGCTGATGCTCTGGTCCTTGTACATTCAGCTGTAGAACGGCAGGGAACCAATTTCTATTGTTTGTATACCACCCAGCATATGGTATTCTGCTATGGCTACTTGAAAGGGCCAAGGCAAGCATAATAAAAAATGAATAAATTATGTTACTATGGAAACGGCAACAAATATTTGCCAGCTTTTGGCTTCTCAGTTTTTCTCTGTGTCCCCTTTCTTCTCTCAGGTCTTGCTGTGATAATAAGCTGTCCTAAGTTGAAGATGACACCATGGATCACTTGGTGTATCAGTCTCTTTCAAGTCACAAAATTTTGTGGCCTCACCATGGGCAGGATCTTCTTGCTTGTTTGAACTCTGCAATTTTCTTAATTTTTCTCTCTAACCATTGAGCTTCTGAACTTGTCCATATGTTTGTGTGCTGGTGTGGGTGGCAGCCAGAGGTTGTCACTGGGTGTCTACCTCTGTCACTCTCCATCTTGTTTGAGACAGGATCTTCTCCAAACTGAAATTGTCACTGCTGTTGGCTTCTACCCCTCTTCCTCCTTTAAGCTAGTAATGGTGTCACTCCAACTTCTATTTCTCACACTGATTTTGCCTGAGTATGAGGCAGCATACTCACAGGTGGTGGGAACAAGGGAGTAGAAATCTTTGTGTGCAAGGGACATAATTTTGCTACCAAAAATGGAGAAAACTTTGAGATTTGTTCCCTACATAATTTTGCTTTGACTTTCCTAGTGAATTAATACTAAAGCAAGGCATTTATGATAATTGTGGAGTTATCTTACTTGCCTAATTCCTGCTTTTTAATTCTATCAGTTTGGTGCCCTAGTTAGCTTTCACTGTCAATCTGATTTAGAGTAGGGTAATCTGAGACAGGAACTGCTTAGATCAGATTGGCCTGAGGGCATATTTATGAGGCACTGTCATACAGAAGGACATTCCCCATCAGTGGACTGTGCCAGCCAGCTTTCTGCTGCTCTGACAAAGTAGCCAAGATAATCAACTTTAAAGGAGAAAGGTTTTCTTTGCTCTCAGTTTTGGGGCTTTCAATCTATAGTTGAATGACTGTTGATTTTGGCCAGTTGTGAGGCAATCCTCATGGGGGCGGGGTGTGTGGTAGGGCCAAGGAAAAAAAGGTGCAGTGATGGAGCTTAATATTTCCTTCAAGGAAATGAATGCCCCAGATGGCCTAACTTGCTTTTGCTAGGACCCACTTAAATCCTTACCACCTCTCAATACTGCTTTCAGCTGGAGACCAAGTGTTCAATGCAGGAGTTTTGGGGTCACTTAAGATTCAAGCCACCCCAAGAGAAGAATGCATGGTCCCCAGAGAAGGGGAAAGGGACAAGATCTCCTTAGCTAATTGGGAGCATGGGGATAGGGGAGAGGGAGCTTGGAGAAAGATAGGGTGAGAAGAGGAGTGGAGAGGAGGGAATAGGGGAGCAGGAAGGTTGAGTCGGGGGAAGAAAAGAGGAGAGCAGGATGAGAGATACCATAATAGAGGGAACCATTATAGGTTCTAGGAGAGATCTGGCACTAGGGATATTTCCAGAGATCTACAAGGATGACACCAACTGGCAATCTAAGCAATAGTGGAGAAGCTACCCTAAATGCCCTTCCCCTATAATGAGACTGATGACCACCTTATATGCCATTCTAGAGCCTTCATCCAGTGCCTTGATGGAAGCAGAGGCAGACACCCACAGCTAAACACTGAACTGAACTCTGGAACCCAGTTGCAGAGAGTGAGGAATGATGAGCAATGAGGTCAGTACCAGGCTGGTGGAACCCACAGAAACAGTTGACTTGAACAAAGGGGAGTGCATGGACCCCAGACTTATGTCTGGGAGGCCAGCATGGTACTGATCTAGACCCCTGAACGTGGATGTCAGTGAGGAGGCCTCGGCATTCTATGGGGCCTCTGGTAGTAGATCAGTATTTATACCTGGAGTAAGAAAGAACTTTGGGAGCCCATCCCATGTGGAGGAATGCTCTCTCAGTATTGGGCACATTGAGGAGGACCTAGGCCCTGACCAAGATGATATGACAGACTTTGGGGATCCTCCATGGAGGGCATTACCCTCCCTGGGGAACAGAGGGTGGGGGAGGGAGCAGGGATTGACATGTGAATCAGACTTGTTTCTAATTTGAACTAATTAAAAAAAATAACTTCTTGGAAAAAAAAGATTGAAGCCACAACATACAATATGTATTCTACTGCTATTTGCATTTCCTCCTCCTTCTCTACTCCCTGCCCCCACATATGAACTTATGGCTCATACTTGTTTTTATGGCTGATTTAATAAGTCATCTATTGATATCAGTTTGATTGCTTCTAAGATTTTTGTGCTCAGATAAGCTGGCAGAAGAGCTGTGTGTTTGCATGTGGAATGCCTGCATGTGGTGCATGTGTGTGTATGTTTCCTATTTGGCTTTACCTGTCAACCTGATGCAGCCTAGAGTTACCTGAAAAGGGAGTCTCAATTGAGGGGTTGTTCAAATCAGATTCATTTGTAAGCATGTCCGTTGGGAATTCTCCCAATGTGGGAGTGCCCATCCCACTAGGCTATACCATCCCTAGGCAGGTAGTCCTGGGCTTTGTAAGAAAACAAGCTAAGCATTCATCTTCGAGCAAGCCATCAAGTGGCATCCTGCATGCTTTATGCTGTATTTCTTTGACTTGGCTGAGTTCCTTCATTCCACGTAATGTGTGGAATACCAAGCCTCCTTCAGGTCTCTGTCTTGAGCTGGTTCCTTGACTTTCCTCAGTGATGGATTATAACATGGACAAATAAGTCAAATAAGACCCCTTCTTCCCCAAATTGCTTTTAGTTCTGGTATTCATCACAGCAACAGAATGAAACCAGAACAGCATGCATATGGTGTGCTTATGGGTTGTATGTGATTGTATAGTGCATATGTATATCCATGCATGTGTATGTGTGAGACTATGTGTATGTGTGTGTTTGATGAATGTGTATACATGTGGTGTGGGGGTGTGTGGATGTGGGGTATGTATGTATATGTAGGGGCGTATATTATTTTATGTGCATGGTGTGTGTGTGTGTGTGTGTGTGTGTGTGTGTGTGTGCTCGCACACATGTGGGATATGTTTGTGTGTGTGCTTGTGGGATGTCTGTGTCTGCGATTGTACATGTATGTGTGGTTTGTATATATGTGTTCATTGTGGGGGGTGTGAATTCCAGAAGCCAGTTATTTATAACTCTTAGGATTTTTGAAAAGAACAGGCAAGAATGCTTGGTTAAAAGTTGGATTTCTCTTGGTGGGGCACACTTAGTCTGTTCATAGGAAGCATGGAGACATATTGCTTCCTTCCCATATTTTAATGCACTTTTCTCATCTAAGGAATGGGAATAATAACCCTAATGTGCTAAGTTTTTCTGAGGCAAAAATGAGATTGGAATGTGTTCCCACATATAGCTACTCTGTCTGTAAATAGGCTGTTTTGCTAGAAAGGAAATATGATGGCCTGTCGATCAGTTCAGTTATGAAATATGACAGGCGCTAGAGCAGCAGGAAGGGGAGGAACTCAGGAGCACCTGACCACTGCTCATATATTCTGTGGCCTCAAAGGGCCAGTGATGCTACTTATAATCTCTCTCAGTTCCCTGTAAACTTGTGATGCTGAGCCAGCCTCCTACATGCAGCCTGGCCTGGTAAGGAGTCAGGGAGGTAGCACAGTCCAGCAATGTTGGCAGTTGTGAAATAAAAGCAACCCTGGCAGGCAGGTCAGAAGTATTGTTTGGGATTTGAAGTTGGAGAACAGGTGGGGACTGAGTTCTTGGTGACTGAGCCCAAGATTTTAAATAATTCCATAAGTTTTGGGTCACCGATGAAGATTTTAATTGTGACTTTGTTATAGGCAGATATTGAAGTCCAGAGGATACCCACTAGAACTTCCAGGTTCTTGTGTTTCATAACAGGGAATTGGGCCAGGAACCCCAAAATAGTGACAGAAACAGACAGCTGATTAAGGAAGAGAAAGGCACTCCAGAGAATGGAAGTGGGCTGGAGAGCTGGAAAAGGTAAAAGCTTAATGGTGCTGGGCAGCGGACTCAGGTGGATGTCAGGGTCTTCAAGAAGTCTGATAAAAGACCACCAGTCATGTATACAATAAGCAAGAGTGCTTTATTAAGATTCCAACATGTTGGGGTGGCACATGGCAATGACCAGAGAAGCCTGATGGCTCCTTTTAAGAACTGGGTTAGGGGAATTCCAGGGAGGAGAGATTAGTCCGGGGGCTGATTGGTGGGTGGCCCTAGTGGTTAGGGACTTTCCAGAGGCAGCGGAAGGAAAGCTATCTTTAGTTATTGGGAGACTGTGGTCATCTGCTGAGCTAGCAGAAGGCTAAGGGGGTGCCTGTTGATTGGTTGCCTCTGAGTTGTGGTTTTTCCATAAGAACTGTTTGCTCAGCTCCAGTCACCTTCAGTTAACTGAAACTAATCCCTGGTCCCAGACAGGGGCTGTTAAAAACCTGTCATGGCTCTGGTCTGGCTCCCTGGCCCTCACACTGGACTCAGGGACCTTCTGTTCTACATGTGTAGAGCCTAGCTTTTCTCAAGCTTGGTTTTATATTAACTCTTGGTTAGGGGACTCTGGTCTTCGTTTGTTGTCTTTGTCTTCTTTCACATGTTAATGTTGCTCCTTCTTTCTCCCACCCTCCTCTTCTGACACAATGGGAAACTTGTCTGAATTAGTGTACACAGAAAGTGTTGTACAGTGTGACAGGCCTCACCTAAGCTGGGATGCTGGACATGGACCATGACCTTGGGAAGGGGCAGAATGTAGGAAATGGTGTTGAGTGAAGAAACAGCAGGGTGTGTGGTGACTTTCTAGTTGCTGGATTATTGGCCACATGAATGGTAGTATAGCTCTTGGGTTGTGTGTACCAAGAAAAGCCAGTTTCCATAAAGGATGGGGTCCGGTCCAGTCTGGCAGTGAAGTTGAATTGTTAGAGGTGCATACAAATGGAAATGCCCCATAGGTCAGTTTGACATGTAGGTCTGACTTGGAAAAGAGGGTCAGGGATGCCAATAGCCAATGCCAGTTTTTTTTTTTTTTTCTGGAATCATTCTTTTCTTTCTTTCATGTCCACATCCTCTCCTGTTGCTGTTAAAGCTGTTTTGTTGTTGTTGCTTTTTTTTGTATTTAATTCTAAAGTGCAGATAGTGTCAGCAAAACCACTCCTAGGGAAAAGTCCTTAACTAGTAGGGGAGTGTGTG